CCCTATTATTCTCATAGTCATAGCTGAATAACATCTTTGGCTCTCAGTTTCCAGTGCTATAAAGTGAAGGACTTAGTCCAACGTTATCATACTGTTAGCATCAAAGCTAGTTTTACGATACGCAATTAATTTTCTGCCCCTTCTAACAAAGATGCTGAGTAGAAAAAAGTAAAAACATTGACAGATATGAAAACTCTGACCCCTCAGCAAAACTCTGCCTTGGGATGTCTGTCCAGAACACAATGTCTAAAATGCCCTCATCTGTTCTTTAGGCAAATTATTGGTCTACAAGTCTGTTAATGCTCTGTGAGACTTCTTAAGGCAGTCACTCTATCCTCTTTTGTTGTCACAAACCACGGCCCAGTCCAAGGGAGGTTCTCATGAAATGTTTGATGTATGAATGAATGAATGAATGAATGGCTTCAGTCAATAGCATACTGGTTCTAGTGATATGCTAGACATTCTGGGTGTTGTGTAAATCTTGAAACAATTAGGCTTTGTACTGAAATTCCATTCTGGGAGGCACCTGGCTGACTCAGTTGGAAGAGCATGAGACTCTTGATCTTAGGGTCCTGAGTTTGAGCCCCACATTGGGTATAGGGATAACTTAAATAAATAGAACTTAAAAAAAAAATCCCATTTTATATTTGTCCAAGGGTTGATCTAATAGAGCATCTCATTAAAACCCTACTTTAAATCTGTATCTCTTTTATTTTTTTACCTGTGTGTTCATTTTCTGATTTATGAGTCTTTGAGTTCTTTAGAAGAAAAGTACTATGTGCAAACTCAGGGTAACTACTGGTGACTTTTCACGGTTGTGATTTATTAATTAGTCTGGAAAATGCTTCTAACAATTTTGCCCTGATAATCTGAGGACATGAGTTTTATTTCCAAATCCTCCTTCTCTACAAGCTGTTTTTATTAATGAGGAAAGCGTAAGTTGGCTCTCCTCAGTCTTTATTCCCAGGTACCATCAATTAAAGAGAAATCAAAATCCTTTTCCATTACATTTGAATTAAGAGTAATTTGTTAACTCTTGTGGAGATTTCTCATAATCCAGAAGTTCTCTTTTTATTCCTAGAAGATTTTATATTCACTAAAAAGCATAAATTTGGAATACTTCATTACAGGATGGGGTTGATAGGATAAAGAACAACTTTTTTGTCCATGCCCTAAAATTAGCTATATTTTGGCTAGCTGAACTTTGTGTGTAGATCATTGGAATTCATGGTGATTTCCCTCCTCCAGGTTTAGAGTCACTGACTACTAAAGCTGGAGGTCGTCTGGCCCAGTCCTTTTATTTTGTCAAAATTGAAGCCAGAGAAAAAGGGATTTTCAACAGAGCAAAATTGTTTTGATCTTTTCCAATAGCGAACATTATAAAACAAAACAATAATAGAACAGGCTAACAGACAACAAAAGGGGCCAATTTTTGTTTTATCTCCCTCTCTAATTCTCTGCTTCCTTTCAACTCTTGTGCTGCAGTGAAAAGCTTAAAAGGTGAGCAAAAAAGGAAAGAAGGGGTGAAGTAAAAACTGGGTTATTGATTCTGAAAGAATTGAAACTTGCATATGATAGATAATCACAAGCCACGCAAAAACATCAGGCTCAAAGCATGTTGTGGCTACTCTTTATGCTTGTTCTTAGACAACAGTGATCATCAGATGGGGGTACTTGCTGAGGGGTTTTCCTTTTATGGCCTAGTAAGAAGGCACTTGAGCTTATCCAAGAGGTTGGTCCCAAGGGTAATAGCAGAGAGTTCCTTTCCTCTGGTGCCATCTGGGTCCAAGGTGGAAAGGATGGAGGAGGGGACAGCCAGGGCTGCAGATGATTGTAGCAATGGGTCAGGCACACCTCTCCTGCTCTTATACATGGGCTCCCTCAACTTTGACACGTGTTTGTCACATTAAACTCCAAAATACTGTTTAGAAACTTTGACCCAATTTGACTAAAGATGAAAATCTACTGGTATCAAGAAATAGCCTAAACAGAAAGATGAGCTAAACAGAAAGATCCTCAAGGGGCGATCATTGAGGGCGTTTCACCTCCAGACAGAAGGGCCATTACATTGTAAATACTAGGTTATATAATAATAATCCTTATCAAGTTCACAAAACTCATCTTTTCCAGCCAAATGTAGACATTTTGAAAGATTAGAATATCTCAAAGTCTTGCAACTAATCCCAGGTGATTAATAATATGATTTGACAATGTAGTTAAGAATGCTAATTTAATTTAATTGCTTTTTATCTCAATATCTCACTAGGAAGAAAAGACTAGTCAAATTAGACAATTGGGCTTTAGTAGCCTGATACTATCTTAATGTAAATTAACAGTAAACATTTGAAAGCAACAGAGGAGATAAAATTTTTTTTTAAGCTTGGGTAATTGAATCCTGATTCAAAATGGCGTTTAGCACTAGACTGTAATATACTACCTACTGCTCAGTCTGTTATCTACCATTATCTTTTGAACCCTGTAATTGGACAAACAGGCATCTATTCATAATAGTAAGTTTGTTCAAAATCATCTGTTTGCTGGAGATTGGGGTGCACACTGCAGTCATATTGAACTGACGGCAAAACTGCTTACTTTATCCTTTCCACTGTTTGTTCTTCTTTGATACCACAAAGTACAGCAACACTACATATTTGGACAGTCCAGAGCATCTTACCAAAGTTACAAAAAAAAAAAAAAAACCCCAAACCAAAACCAATCCTTTTTCCTGCGTTCCATGAATGGGCAACATAAATCGTATTTACTGCAAGAGGGGCCACCATTGAATCTGAGCCATCCCCTGCCTGGAGTGTATGCACATGACTATGCTTAGCACAGAACTGGAGCAAGCAAATTGCCTTCTGGAATTTCCATAGATCCAACCACTTAGTTGCTTTATTTATCCTATCACTGGTTTTATTTCTCAGTGATTCTTTAGTAGTTATGTTCCTTCTATCACAGCTATCCAAACATCAGGTTGTATAGGGCTCCTGCTCACATAGGGCTCCTTCTAAGAGATTTAAATGGAAAGGCAACATAAGCCATTATTGGTTTATTTTCAGTTTTCATTATCAATAAAACAAGACATCAGCATTTTCATGCTGTGTGAAGCCTTCAGGGAAGCTCAATGTCGCTGTCATTATTTTTAGACAGGCTGCCGCCTCCTGCCTCCACTAATGCAGATGGAATGAGGAGTCCATCAGAATAGAGATAAAATGATGAAAGAAAGCATCAGAGTCATAGAGCGGGCGGCTGCCCTGGTCGGCTGCGTGGCTCCCTGACAATGTCCCTTTGAATTTAGTGGAGCCTGGATGGTAAAGACCACAGATCATGACAGAACATAAATTCGCCTCATAATGAGATTAGTAGGCAGGCAAAATAAATGTCCTGCTGTTACATTAGAGGCAGGCTCTAATCTGGTGTTTTCCTTGGAAATGATCATTTCCTTTGCAACAGGGGAACCGTCAGCGCAACGAACTTAAATCCAACAGATTCTGTTTTGCCACGTGGTTATTTTTCATTTTCTTCTGCCTTTTTAATAGCAGTTTTGAGGAGGCGTGTAAATGAGTTGTGAGTCTTAAAGACTATTACCGAAGTGAGTTATGGACGACTATGTTCATGATCATCAATCGTATTTCCCAGACTCCCCTTTTAAGAAATGTTCTGTGCAACCCTCCTCCCCCTTCTAAACAGGAACCGGCTGTGGAGGAGGTGTTGTGACCCCCAGGGTCCTTTCACTCTAGCCTTAAAGATCAAAGGCAGAATAGGCTCACTATTGTATTTGGGGTATTTTTTTTTTTAAATCTTTACCGCAACTCTACTACTTAAAACCACTGGAAACAAGTATCACATACTAAAGAGCCTTAAAAAAAAAATGCCCAGATCAGGTGAACCCACATGGTCTCTGAGTAGAACAAAGGCCTTGAGTATGCAGCTTGATTGCAAAGGACTTTTTTGGTTTTCAGCAGAAGGCAATCTCACCTGGAGTACAATACCCTCCTCTCATTAAAAATGCAAGATAGGATCTCCTCCTGGATCCTTTCTACAGCACCTGATGCAAGTTCATGGGCTGTACTGTCCTTAGCAGTGAGTGGCATTTAATCAAAGCCTTCTGTGAAATAATCTCAGAGTTTCCCGAGCCCTGTAAAGTAAGAGGTCCTTTCAAAGGAAGAGGAGATCAGACTCTGAACTTAGGAGTATATGAAGCTTCTGCATAGAAGGCACAGACAATTTAATGTACACCTATTTTCTCGGGGCCAGGCTGGAGATTCCTCACTTCTCTGTGAAATCACCCTCTAGGAATAAATCATTTGCTACTTCTTTGATTCATGGTATTCTGATATATTGTTTTCGTAGGCTAGAATGAAACCATGGAAACTTTTTGTGTTTGCATATGCATTTTACAGTTTAGGCAGTGGTTTATGAACATTAGCGCATCTAATGAAACAGTTCCCTTTCTGCGTCTGGTGTTTCCATCCAAAAACTTGAACTGCAAATCCAGCTACTAGGAGGGAGAAAATATATTTTGGCCCAGTTTAACAAGTTTTTTCTTTCAACGTCTTACTTCTTAATGGTTGAAATTGTGTCTCTATTTATATATTTTCGATTCATCTGATTTGTAGATGCCTGAAAGTTTCAAGTCATTTCTTCTCCCATCCTCTGTTAACCCCCTCCTTGTCAGATGAAACAGTTCAAAGGAAGACAGACTGATTTCTGTTAGGTAGGTTCTCCTCCATTCATTGGTGCTCTTACAACTTACCATTTCGTTCTCGAATTCATTCTTCCTTGCTCTACCATATCTGTCTCCCACTCTCCATCGCACCCCTGGGTTTGTAATTCAAATTGCAAACAGCAACTGAATCCACTTGACCAAGTGTCCAGTATATTTGTCACGTGTTCACGATTTTCTAATGGCATTCCATGCGTTAAACCCTCAGAGTTCATGTTAAAGTTTCATGTCGAGTAATCTCCCCGAAGGAATTCCCCGAACTGTGTTTGCTTACCTCATATAAATGAACTTGTTCTTGGGTTACGGCAAAGATTAATAGCACGTTATTTTGCACCAGTTTATCAATGAGTTGTCCAATTGTTGGATATTCCTAAAATTGACATAAAGATTTTAAGTATCATCTTAACACAAGTATGTAAAATAAAGAAAGGAATATTTCTTTCAAAGATACCATACTGAGTTTGGCATGTCAGTTTGGTTCTAAGTAGAAAAATACACAATTATCATTAGTCACTTAATTGGTTTAATAATTGTTGCCTAAATCTTGTAAATCCAATAAATTCCTAAGAGTCAGTGTGTGGTAGTGTAGCATATTACGGCCTGCCACTCCCAAGGAGAGCACTTGGAATTTATTTAAAAACTTATAGTGTGTCATATTTTCAAGGGTAGAGACACAGTTCTTCTAAGTGCCACTTGGCAGCAGACTCAAGATGTAGAGAATGTTAGAGTCAGGGGAGGAGCGGATACTTGATGACAGATGTGACTGAGGGGACTCAGGTAGCTCGGAAACTCCTACTGGAATTGGATGAGGCGGGCTGAGGGCTGAGGAAAGGACAGCCTGCTGAGGAATGATACGCTACAGTTCCTGTGTCCATCTGATCTGAGACATTCCTGCACCAGTTTTGCATTTGGTCTTACTGAGTTTTTGATGTCAGTAATCAGTTTTATGGGATCCTGCAATATTTTTACAGGACAACTGAAAACACATTGTACCTTTTTTTCATTGACACATTCATTCCCAAGTGATATGAGTCCTTTAAAAAATAAAGAAGGCAGGGGCGCCTGAGTGGCTCAGTCATTAAGCATCTGCCTTCGGCTCAGGTGATGACCCCAGGGTCCTGGGATTGAGCCCCGCATCGGGCTCCCTGCTCAGTGGGAAGCCTGCTTCTCCCTCTCCCACTCCCTCTGCTTGTGTTCCTGCTCTCACTATCTCTCTCTCTCTGTCAAATAAATAAATAAAATCTTTAAAAAAAAAAATAAAGAAGGCATAAACCATCAAATTTGAACAGGGCCTCTACTTTCCAAAGTTAATAACTGTGCAGCACATTTGGCTGTTGTATGACTCCAAATGTGGATAATGTACAAAGAGGAAACTCAAATGAAAGAGAAACCTGCAAACAAAGAAACTAAGAATATGTCGAACATGAAATCAGCCAAAGTGGAGCAACGCTGATAAGTAAGCCTTCCTGGACACGAACGTGTTCACATATTCTCAGCACGATGGGAGTAATTCTGCCTAATGTCTTCATTAGGCCCAAGATTCAAGTTGAGGGAAAAGTACAGTTTTGCCTAAAATACTCAGGTAAATGACCCAACCGCGTATCTGGCTGTGCAATATGTGCTTGCCATCCAATTTGGATTTTTATTAGTAAACAGCAGTAGAATCCAGATAACACAAATCTTCCAGAGTCTGACATATTCCGTGTTCCCTGCTTTTTCAACTGCCCAAACACTAAGAATCCTTCAGCTTTAAGCCTGGATTCCCCCAACGCTGGCCTCTCCTATCTCCACATTCTTGCACTTTCAGCTGCTGTGGGTGTGTAGCAAGGATCACACCATGAAGCCCTTCGTAGGTGGACAAGTGTCATTTTCTATTTGACCTAGATCAGTTGGCTTAATTCACACAAGTATATTGTATGTGTGTTCCTCAAGGCCAGGGACCATGTCCATTATTTTGTGGCCCCAGGAGCCGAGCCCAGTGTTGAGTGAATAGAAATTACTCAAAGGACCCAGGGAACTGTGCTGTAGGCAGGCATGGAGATAACCCATGACTTCTGTGCATTTGCAGCAACTTACTGAGCAACAATGAATTGAACATTTATTAGATGAGAAGGTTATAATAAGCAAGAAGTAGCATTTGCTTTTATGTCCCGCTTTTTCCAAGATGTCTGTTAATGGGGCATTTGAATAGTTGCAAGAAAAAGTAATAAAAAAGAGATCTATGTCTCACCATTTCTTGGCACTCAAAGGTTAAAAGACAAAATGTGGCTATTCTCATGGATATTGTAATATGGAAAGGCAACTTATATGACAAAAGTATGAGGACTACTATGGGTCAAAATTTAGGGGAAAAACACTCATCTTGAAGTTTAGCAATTTAAGTCAAGGAATGATAGCAGGTGATTTGTGAACCATTAGTTGTTTGTTTTTTTTAAAAACTAATTACCATCACTGTGTGTGTATATACATGTATATATATACATGTATATATATGACATATATATATGTTATCTCACTGAATTCTTTTTTTAGAGAATAGTTTTTCCAATCTGATATTAGTATTCTGGTTCTCTTCTCTCTCTCTTTCTCTCTCTCTCCTTCTCTCTCTTACATACATTTCTATAGCATTGTCATTTTAAGAAGTCACTTGAATTCTCTGTGCCATATTTTCCCAAGTATTAAATGGAGATAATATGACCTCCCCAGGTTGCTGCTTCATAATTAAATTTTATTCCATACATAGTCAACACCCTCTGTGTTCCAGGCACTGTGCTGGCAGGAAATAGAGAAAATACACCACTCCTGGTCCCGAGGAATGCATTATTAGAGAAAGACAGACAAACATAAGCAAACACATTTCCACATAGTGATGGGTAAGAAGACATCTATGTACTAGAGCAAGGGGAGGGATGATCACTTTGGGGTTCAGCAAAGGGCAAAGAGGGTTCTCTGGGAGTAGTCATGATTGAGTTGGGTTTTAAAGGACAATTAAGAGTCTCTCAGCACCCTCTGAGGGAAGGGCATTCCAGACAGAGGTAACAACACGTGCATGAGCATGGCAGCCTCATGGTCCATACAAGGAAAACAGATACGTAGGGTTCTGGGGAGCATCAAATGTGATCATGTATGTCAAAGAGCTCTGAAATTTTTACCTTGTTTTACACAAGTCAAGAGCTTTTCTTTTTTATTCCTTTGAATGTTACCAGCATTTTTAAAATGTTTTAAATGACAAAAATAAGCCAAATGTGAATAAATACCAGCCAACAGTACTTGACAGCTGTTCCCCATGGAGCACCATGGTGCATAAAAGCATGATGTTATTTAGGGGGCATGACTCTGGGACCCATCATTCACAGAAAGTCCTAGGTGACTGTTGTTTTGGCCTCAGCCCCCCTTTCTGGGGCTGTCGTTGAAAACAGAATGAGCTGATTGCACTGCTTCTTATTGACCTTGGGCTCTTTGAAAAAATCAAGGAGGTTCTGGGATCATTCAAGCCATAGTAGACCCTAACTTCTTACATATCCCCACCACCCACCTGCGTTCCTGTGGGAAGCTCTAAGGGCAATTTGTTCATCTCAAAGCAGAAAATGTGCACTGTTTTCACCAAATGTGGGTTATTCTGCTGTGTATTGAGTGAGTGTTGCTTCATTTGCCTACTTGCAGCCCTGGAAACAGTGTAGAGTGCAGGTTACACACCAAGACAGTTGACATGGAGTATTCATTCTTGTTGTCCAAGTGACAAAGCCCATCATTAGGAATGACGATGCCTGCCAGTTTGCTGTCCATTCCAAAATGAGAATCGGCATCACTCACAAAGACCAGGAGATGGAGGGAGTCATTCCGCCAACCAATCTTTTCCTACAGTGAGAAAGAAACATTTGGGTCATATGGGATAGAGGCAGGCATTTATTGAGAGTGGATCAATTGTGATTGGACACACTCAGATTATAAAAACTATATTGCTAATCTATCTATTTTGGCCTTTTTCATCTATTGTGAGTTGATAATTATTAATGTATTTCAAACATGAAATTCTATGGCAGTTGCCTTTTCTTGGATAACACTTTCAGATGATTTATGCTTCAGAAAAAATAGTTCCACTATAATCACTCTCCAGTTGATCTTGGCTTTTACATAGTTAATTATTTTTACTGTCCAGCTTTCAATTTACCAGAAAAATGAGGAGAGAGAATGAGGGAGGTCATAGATTATCCCAAATCCAAGCTGAAGCAAAACTGGTAAGAATGCAATACACAATGGACTTAAAGGATGCCTGTTTTATTAAAATATCACCCAAAATTAGGCACATTTTTCTCTTTCTACTGATACCATCCAAAAATTATAAACGTAATACAAAGATAAGAATTGCTTATCAAAGTAGGACCTCCAGCATATGGCTTTTTAAGATGGTCTGTTGTCTGCTTCCTAGCAGAGCTCTCCTCTTTAATTGATAATTAGTCCAGGAACTAGTGGGACAAAAGCTCATCCTGGCAGGGCCATCCCACCTTATTCTTTTCCTTCCTTCCCTAATACCTTGCCCCCCACCCCCAACCTTCCAGGATTTTCAGCCCTGTCTGTTTCCTGGTATTTTCCAGGAAGAGCTGTCTTCTGAAGACCGGGGAATCATTCCCTTGGATGCCTGTTTGTCAAGGAGGAGAGGTGTTCCTGTGTTGTTGTAGGGACAATGTAGCTTCTGGTACCTATTTTGTGGGTTCAAAATAATAGATATCTAATCTTATGTAGAAGTTTGTACTGATTCAGGGCATTTTTACTTTTTTCATTAGTTTCTGCCTGTGATTTCTATTTTTACCATGGTTAATTAAAAAACTAATCTAATCTTGATCTTCAAAAATTAATCATACATGACTATCGTTTTAACCAATTTTTCCCAACATTACTATAATTTTATTAGATTATGTGAATATCAGATATAGAAAAGTATCTGTTTCCACATAACTGAATTATGAATTTTTGAAAATTTTGTGTTTTAAGAAATGTAGAAATATGGCAATTAAAGGAAAGATAAAGTTAGCTAAGCTTTTCAAAGTAGATTTGCTAATAAGAGATGTAATTTGTGTTAGCCCTCAGCATACCTTACACACAGCAGCTTGCATAATTGCATCAAATCCACCTTCTGGTGTGTCAATATTAGCAGAAATTTTCTGATTCTTCACAATGTCATTGAATCTTTCAGCATCATTCGTCAATGGCAAAATGTGCTTGAATCCAAATGTAGGTAAGCAGAAGTATGGAATACTACTGCAAAGGTAAGATGTAAAAATGTTCTTGATGAAATATGATACAACACACAAGGAATGGACCTAGTAGCCTAGCAACTTCATCTTAAGTGAAGATGGATTTTCCTCAAGTACCTGACTCTGGAACTTGGTTAGGAGTCTCCCGGTTAAGCTTGTTTCAGCATCTCCCTCTCACCCCTTCCAAATTGACCTTATTAGCTACTACTTAGCACTTACTATGTGTTTTACTTTGGCTTAAGCTCAGATAACAGATAATCAGGTCAGACTCCCCACTCCTCTGTGTGTGTGAGTGTGTGTATGTGTGTGTGTGTGTGTGTATAATCACTATCTTCTAGTGCTTCTCAACCAAAATCTACCATTAAGTTTCCGTGATGACAACAATTCCTTTGTATTCTGATAGCTTAAGCTGTTATCAAGTATGAGTCATCTTGTAGCAAGATTGAAAGAGATACCCGTCTTCTTTCTTCTCTGCTCCTTCCTGTACTCCCTGCCCTGCCTGCCAAGGGCCCAAAAATCAGAGCAGGGCTCTTGGTTCTGGAGCCCAACTCAACTATGACTGAACAGACTGTTGTGGACCTGGCTAGGAATAAAACTACCACTTAAAACAGTTGACACATGGGAGAAATGCCATGTTAGCATGAGATCTGCCCCAAAGATATTGCAGTTGAACAGAAAAAGCTGATCATGAATTCAGCCACATCTTATTCTGAAAGCCAGTTAGTAGTTGTGGATGAGACTTTGGACAAGTTACTCAACCCTTTTGAGCTTCGGGTGTTCATTTGCAAAATGGAGATAATGGTATAGAGCAGAGGTTCTCAAAGTACAGTCCCTGGACCAGCTGCATGAGCATCACATGGGAACTTGTTATAAATGCAAAATCTGGGACATTCTTCCAGACTTACTGAGTTAGAAATGTAAGGGGTGGGCTCCATGATGCATTCAAATCTTCCTGATGCATTCTAATGTTTGAGAAACACTTGTATTTAGAAGTACAGAGACAAAAAAGAGTAGCCCCCAGTGAGGTTGTGCTATGCCGCCTGGGAAGAGCTGGTTGACTCTTGTAAGAACAGATTTCCAGGTTCAGGAGTCTGTCTTGTGTGCACACGAAGAGCTGGAGCGTCTTTCAGAGTGAGGTTCCTGTTCACCAAGTTCATCTGCCTGAGGCAGGCAGTCAGTCTTCAGTATTCACAGATTCCGTATCTGTGAATTCACCTACTCATTAAAATTTAAAATTTATTTTTAACCCCCAAATCAATACCTTCAGTACTTTCTGAGTCACTCATGTACACACACAGGATGGCAAAAAATTTCAGTCACCTGGTTCACATGTTCCCAGCTGAGATGAAATAAGGCTCTGTGTTCTTGCTTCAGCTCTCAAACTGTAAACAAGCATCCTTTTCATGGTCTTTTTGGTGCCATTTTTTTCATTTTTGTGCTTTTTGTTGGTGATTTTACTGTTTAGAATGGCCCTCAAGTGTAGTGCTGAAGTGTTGTCTAGTGTTCCTAAGTGCAAGAAGGCTGTTATGGGCCTTACAGAGAAAATATGTGCATTAGATAAGCTTTGTTCTGGCATGACTTAAACGGTGTTGTTGGCTGTGAGTGCAATGCTAATGAATCAACAATATATATTAAGTTGTCTTTAAACAGAAAGAAACAGAAAATAAAGTTATGTATTGATCAGTTGGGAAAAAAAATGGCCAGAGGCGTACATGAGCCTAATCCTGTGTTTCCCCTTGGAGCAATAGTTTAGCATTGGTTAAGTCAGTGTTTGAGGAGACCTTGTAGAGCAAGACTTCCATGAATGATGAGAATCAACTATACAAATCAGAATGACTATGGATTCATTCACACCGAGAAATGGAGCTCTGCTGGGACCAAAATGCTGGTGTCTGCAAAGATAACTATTTTCTTCCTGTCAGTAGACTTTCATGGAAAGTAGGTCACAATCCAAAATGTTCTCAGGCTTCAGAACAAGGGGAGTTGGAAGACCCCAGCAGTCTGAGATGTCCCAAGATAGACATCTCCAGAATGGATGCTCTTGGTCATATCTGGCTCCTCCCTTGCCTGTAGTTGGCTTTCTCAGCTAACAAAAATTTGGGAAGGCCTGGTAGCCAACAAGACTGGAAACTCTGAAAGAGCCTGGGCTAAGGCTTTTGGATGGATGAGGCCCATACTTGCCTCTGGAACTGCTCTTTCTTGGGCATTCCCCTAACCTATGATGAGCAAACCTACAGTCCTGTTCATTCTTTCAGCTCTGTCAAGACGCCTGGTTTCGTGGGCCCATGAACCAGCCTATCGCTTCTAGGGAACTTCTTGTATTTCCTTTCTGACCCATTATTTTTAACCTTAATTCTCAGAAGGCAATCTTATTCTCTTATTTTTAATATCTTGCATTAGCTTTCATTGAGGCTCTGAAGTGCAGACCACGGATAGTACCGACTTAGTAGGATTGTTGTAAGGCCTGATTGAGATAAAATATGCAAAGCACACAGCACAATGAGCTTTTCAGATTAAGTGCTTACTAGACATTAATGTCATTTTTTACATAAATCACTTTTACACAGAGTCTAGCACAGACTTGAGGACAGAATGTGGATTTGGCCAATGACATCTCTAGAATCCTATGTTTTTTTTCCTGATTAAAGGGATAATACATGTTCACTGAAGAAAATTTGAGTTAATATAAAAGTGTAAAGAAGAAAATAAAACAAATTTTAATAGTTATGAGATGTATCACAGTTTGATAATCTATTACTAAAAATTTATTTCATAAATCTTTCTGTAATTAAATAATGTAGTGATCCTTCTGCATACAGCTTTGCAGACTGTATCTCTGCTTAGAACTGATTCTTTCAAGGGAAATTGCTTGGTTACTTTTCAATCCATATAAGCAAACTCCTTTCCAAAAAGTTTGTATCAATTACATCATGAAAAAAACAAAACAAAACAAAACAAAAATATACCAGTGATTAGTTAAAAATGGCATCTTAATTTAACTTTTAATTTCCATTTTATTGCTACTAAGACTGCTAATTTGTTCATATTTATTGACAGTTTGTATTTCTTCTTTGTCACTTGCCAACTTACATCCTTTGCTCATTTTCTTGGTTTTTATTTTCTAACTTAATTTTAAGAACCTTTTCTCTTCAAAATATTAAACTTTTGTCTTTGAGCTTTGTCTTTTAATTATGTTTATGCTGTTTTTGGATATATACCTTAAAACTTTTTATGTAGTCAAGTGTTTTTCAACCTTCAATTAGAGATGTATTTGAAGAGTTATATGAGGAAGAGGTTTAATTTTCTTTTCGAATTGTTACCTATTAAATGGCAATGATTTAGCATTTGTTCTTATTGCTCTGATAGCATTTAAAGTAGTTGTGTGCTGGAAGAAAATGCATTCGATTTAGAATAAGAAGACTGAACAGTTGTCTATTCTTGGGCAAGTTACTTACCACTGCTGGGCCTCAGTATCCTCATCTGTAAAATGAGACTGATAATACCTACTTCACAAAGTTCTTGTGAGTTACATGAGATAAAAAGTATGTAACTATGTGAGGTGTACCATTGTCCCTATAATCTAATTATTCTTGGAAATTGTTAGTTTAATCTTTTATTTTGGGCTGCTTGTTCACACTGTACCAAAATGGCATTTGAGCATCTTCTGAAACCAAAGAACTAGTATTCCTGTCTTTTTGTAAGAAATTTACACCTTTGTGGGTTAGAATTGCTAGATAGATCTAGTAGAACTCTGTGCTTTTAGAAAGTGGAATGAAATGTTAGCTTATTTATTTATTTTTTTTTAAAGATTTTATTTATTTATTTGACAGAGAGAGTGCACAAGTAGGCAGTAAAGCAGGCAGAGGGAGAGGGAGAAGCAGGCTCTCTGTTGAGCAGGGAGCCCGATGCAGGGCTCGGTCCCAGGACCCCGGGATCATGACCTGAGCCCAAGGCAGATGCTTAACCGCCTGAGCCACCCAGGCGCCCCTGAAGTGTTAGTTTAATTCAGTAAACAGACTCACGTGCTAGGAGACCCATGTAGCTAAAGCAAAGCAGAATGTCAGACTTGGGTTATGCCAGGAAATTTTGAGTGGATACTCCCCTGGTTTTGGTCAAAGTCCTTCCTCTAACAGAGGTTCATATTTGGCTATTACTTTTTTAGCATAGCAGTTGAAGGAAGTAGGTACTCATCACCAAATAATTTGATTTTGAGTCCCTAGATAATAATAGATTTGCATTTAAAATGCAGAATAATTATGAAACACAATATACAAAAATACTATTTATATTTTTGTTAGAATTTTAAATAAATATACATAAATTAAGATTACAATGATACATACCAAATGGCTAACACCATCTTTTTGAGTGGGATTAAAAATAATTTCCTTTTTCCTCTTTTTGTCTGCATTCTCACATGGCCTTGTATTACCTTTGCAATAAGAAATTATTCTGTACACTCATATATATTTATGTTTGTGTATATATAAGAAATCTAAGCATTTCATAGTTCTGCTTTCTCTTTTGCAAAACTACAGTGAGTCCCTCACTGTTGGTGTCATATTAAAAAACAAACAAAACATGAAACAAAACATAGCACATATGAAATGATGTTAAAAAAGAAATCTCTCATAGTGTTTGACAGGGGAAGAAAATTTGACCTTTGTGTTATTAAATATATTTTTTAAAGATTTTATTTATTTATTTGACAGAGAGAGACACAGAGAGAGAAGGAACACAAGAAGGGGGAGGGGGAGAGGGAGAGGGATAAGCAGACTCCCCGCTGAGCAGGGAGCCCAACGAGGGGCTCGATCCCAGGACCCTGGGATCATGACTGAGCCGAAGGCAGACGCTTAACGACTGAGCCACCCAGGCGCCCCCCTACTAAATACTTTTAAATGCACATTACAACCTATCTACAAGTATGAAAATGGAGGAACTATATTCTTGTTACTGTGTCTTAGATAACAGCCTAAGGAAATCTTCTTTAAAAATGTAAGCCACTTCAGCATTCTTACATGGTGAAATAAAATTTCTCAGTGATTCTACATCCAAGGAAGCTAAAGAAAGAAAGCTACTCCAAAATGCATGTTTTAAAAGTGTGGTGCACAGACCCACAAAGGTCCCTGAGACATTTTCAGAGAGGCCTTCAGGTCAAACTATTTTCTAATAATAATAAAAGATGTTATTTGTCTTTTTCACTGTGTTGACATTTGCACTGATGTTGCAAACGCAATGGTGAGTAAAACTGCTGGTGCCTTTGCAGGAATCAAAGCTGTGGCTTGCAACCGGCTAGTGGGCCTTAGGAATTTTCCTGGCAAGTATTTATCATCATAATAAAATTGCTAGTTTCATTTGATTATCCTTGATAAAGCAGTAAAAGTTATTAATTTTATTAAGTCTACCCCCTTGAATACATGTTTTTTAAAAAATATATATTTCTGGAGCACCTGGCTGGCTCGGTTGGTAGAGCATGTGACTCTTGATCTCAGGGTCATGAGTTTGAGCTCCATCTTGGGCATGGAGCTTACTTAAAAATAAATAAATAAATAAATAAATAAATAATTTAAAAAATATTTCTGTGTAACTACATGGGAAATATGCATCTAGCATTTCTGCAGCACACCAAAGTACAATGTTTAGAGTGGGAAAAAAATATTTGCAATTGTTTGAGCTGAACTGGCCCTTTTTTTTATAGAACGTTTTTACCCGAAAGAACGTTTGATGACCAAACTATTATTCCAACTTGGGTACTTAGCAGACATGTTCTTAAATATGAAAAAAGCCTGTCAGTTCAAGGAAAACAACCCTCAGTATTTGTTGCCAATGATAAAATTAGAGGTAACTAGAAAATTAAAGTTTTGGAAAACATTAATCTGCTACCTATGAGATTAATAGCGTCTCAGTACTTTAAGATTTATCTGATGAGATTTATGGTGATATTAACAAATGCAACTTTTTTATACTGTGTCATGAAACTTGGAAGATCTATACAATTCACTGAAACAATATTTTCCAAATGGCCAAAGCATTATATTACAAAATCACATACATAAGTAAAAGAGCCATTCAAAGTGCAAGACAGGGGCACCTGGGTTATTCGGTCAGTTAAGCTTCTGACTCTTGGATTTTTGGGTCATATCTGATCCCATGGATCTTGGGATCTGCCCTTGCACCAGGCTCCTTGCTCAGCAGAGTCTGCTTGGGATTCTCTGCTTCTCCCTCCCCTTCTGCCCCTCCCCCTCATTCATGAGCTCTTTCTCAAATAAACAAATAAATAAAATCTTTTAAAAAACAAAGTGCAAGACAGACCAATGGTTTTATGAAAAGTTCATTGATACTGTTTCAGATTCCCCTTGAAACTAACTTTTACCTCTTGTCTAGTTTGAATGTAGTATCAAAGAAGAATGTCCACAGACACTGTAAAAAGATATCAAATGCTTTTCTCTTTTCCAACTATATATCTATGTGAGGTTTGACTTTCTTCATGGAGTTCAACTAAAACAAAATATTGCAACAGACTAAATGTAGAAGAAGATATGAGAATCCAGTTGTCTTCTATTAAACCAAATATTTTAAGAGATTTTAACAATGTAAAACAGTGCCACTCTTCTTGCTAATTTTTGTTTTGTCATGAAAAATATAATTATTTTTAATAAAGATGTGCTTTTATAGTAATGTGCATTGTGTTTCTTATTGTAATTATTAAATGAATCAATAAATAATTATTTTAAAATTTTCTGTTTTATTTTCTAATATGCTGAATATTGAAAATATAACCCACATAAGCTAAAGCTCTTTGGGGTCTTAATTTTTAAAAGTGTAAGAAAGTCCTGACATCTAAAAGTCTGAGGACTCTAGCTTAAAATAACTAGAGATACTAAGAGTTGATGAGAGGAAGAAAATTAATACCTGTTTGTTATATTCTGAGCTCACTCAATTTTCACAATTACCCTAGGATGTGAATATTATTATCCCCATTTATAAGTGAAGAGACCAAACTCAGAGTAAGTTTTTTGTCCAAGGTTATGATTTAAACCCACGTCTCAAAAACTCCACATTCTTTCCTTTTACCTCTCATTGCCTTCCTACTAAAGAACATTTTATTCCATAATTATAAGGTTTGGATTGATCAAAGGATTGACTTTTATGTTTGGTATTTGAGTTCTTCGTGTGTATATGTCTGGGAGGTAGTATCTGGACAGAG